AGTACGTAAATGGGAGTGTGAACAGCTTCCATAGCTATGCAATAAGAGTAGGACCTTCCATGGCAAAAGAGGGAATTTAAAATCATTTTCTTTTAGATCAAAACAAAACCAAAAGACTATCCATAGACATAAATCCAGGAACAGTTCTGACCTTCTATTTAGAAACAAAATTATCAGGCAATCTCAGGAAGCCATTCAAGATGATTCACCACCCCGGAGACAAAGGAGAAGGGGTACGGCAGCTTAGCTTGGAGATCCTGTCTCTTTCTAACTCTCCAGTGGGACAGGGCTCACCCAGCCAGGCAGGCAGACAAGGACCTCACAGGGTCGTAAGGCCCAGGATGACTCTCCTCTGTTCTCTTTTTCACTTGCTAAAAGTGTTTCTTGGGGCCACACTGAGCTACTGTCTTGGGGGCTGAAGGACACTTCCTGAGAAAGCACGCAGACGCTTCAGAGACTGAAGAAACAAACCATTGGTTAACTTTATCTGTAGCATAAAAGGACCAGGGTGGTGTAGACTCCCAGTCCAGGAACCTAAGGTGCTTGCTTGCACTCAAAAGATGTAAGTGGGATCCACAGGAGAGCTTGTGTATGGCTCATATCCTTGGCTCTTTGTGGATATTTGTATCATGAAACCATTTCCCTTCCCCTGTAAAGGCTGCGCTCGCTTTCTCAATACAGGCTAGCGGTGTTTCTTCATAGACACCTGCTGATCTTGTAGAAGATACCCATTCACATGTTAGTGCATACATTTTTCCTCGTTCTTGAAACTTTCAAATGTATACTAATAAAGAAGACAGTCAAATGGATCCCCAAGGGGACCCCCTACTCAGACTTGATGTGACGGACACACGCAGCATCCTGTTGCACCTGTTCCTTCACTCACCCCAGGACTATTCTGAAAGAAATCCCCCAAATCATTTCATCTGCAAATAACCCCGGTCTGTTGGTCCCCACTCTCTACCACAGCCAGAGCGATCTTTTCGATATGAAGCGGTGACATGATCGTGCGTGCTTGGTCGCAATCGAGCCTTCAGAGACTTACTTGCCCCTTGCACTTCAAACGAAGCTCAAACCTTTTCCTGCGCCTACGAGGACCTTCAGGTTCATGCTCATTTTCTGCAGCCCCTACAACTCAGGATACTCTGAACTCAGGATACTCCAGCCATCCTGCCACTGAGTTAGCTTGAATAGTTTCCCTTCAGATTTTACTCTTAGCTTAAAAGTCATTTCCATGTGGCTGCAGGCGAGGCCGGGTGAGGTGAGGTCCTCTCTGCCCATCATGCTTTTCTTCGTTTCTTATCAAAATTTTTTTGGAACTGGGATCGAACTTGGGACCTTGCACCTTGTACCTTGCAAGGCAGGTGGCACAACAACCACTGAGTTAAATCCCTGGCCTCTCTTATCGAACTTTAATTACAGTAGCACTTTGGTTCATGAACTTAATTCATTCTACGATTCTGGAAATGATGGCCACGTCCATGTTGCTAAGGGAAAGGCGGCTGTAGTTGTGTTTATCACCTGGCATAGAAATCATAAACAAAAACAAAATTTTGCCAAATGCTTCTGCTTGCGAATAACAGCATTCTCGAATCAACGTACTACTGTATATAGTTACGATATAATTACATCTTCTTAAAAATCTGAGGTACTGGGGGTCGAACCCAGGGCCTTGTGCACATTAGACAAGCATTCTATCACTGACCTGTCTGTAGCCACTGTATAATTGCTTCTTTCAAATATCTTCCTTCCTGACACAACTGGACTCTAAATTTTACAAGGCAGGGATCATGCCTATTTTGTTAATCAACTAGGCCTCAGTACTTTGCACAGAACTCGAAAGCAGTAGATTATGTCTACCCCTCACCATGTGTGTGTGCCTGATAAATAAATGAACGGATCTGTGCCTATATGGCTATTTGTTTCCTCCCACCACGTACCTTTCATTTAGACCAAAAGGTCCTAGAAAAACAAAAATACAATTCTTTCAGGAATAAAAATCTAGTGCAGCTTTGATTGCAATTCCGCACTTAAATAAGCTTGATGATGTTACTGGGTTATTCGAGAACAGGTGAGGATGACGACACCTTGTAGCCTGTTGCGAAGTTATGACTCCTGATTTAATAACACTAATAACTCACTCTTCTGGTATGTGTGCCACTCTGAAAATGCTTTCATGCACACTGCCCCATTTGAAGTGGGTCCTGTAGGTGGTTATCACCACTGCTTTACACAGGTGAGGACTAGAAGCCTGTGCCAGAATTAGAGCCAGGCCTTGTGACCCTGAGGCTCGTGTGTGCTTGCTGGGTTCGGAAGTGTGAGGTCACTGGGCCTCAACTTTCCCATCGGCAAGCCAGAGATTTGGACACAAAGTGTTCAAGGGCTTCCAGCTCTGCAGATCTGTATTTATGGTTCTAACAGTCACAGACTTCTGTGAAATTAAGAGCAAAGACAGATAATTAGACTCGTCCCTACTGTTTTTAGGACTATGTAAAACACCATCCAGTAATTCAAACTATTTGACATCAGGTACTCTAGAAGTCACCAAATGCCCAGCGTGCCTGAACATAGGTGGACACAAAATTTTGGGAACAGGTCTCAAAATTACATTGGTGGAGAAAACAGTATAACTTGATCTGTCATTGTACAACAAAATAAAAAGCTTGTTGATGTGTCATCTGAACCAACTGCTAACATGGACCCATCCCCCAGCTCTACGCCTGGGTTATCAGGCAGAGAACCAGTCGTTGCTACCTTGTCAGCGCCGCTCCAAAGTCACTGTGGGCCTTGGTTTCTGGATGAACCTGTCCTATAACCGCCAACTTACTTCCCTGGAAGCGAAACCTGCAGACACGTTGCAACTTCACTTGTGTATACAGCAGCTGAAGTCACTCCTTCCCGGCGTCCTCGGGGTCCTCCTCGCTGCGCCAGGTCGTACCCTGCCCATCGCCCACTCTCCTACTCTTCTCTCCCCTAATTAACATCCACTCCAGAGTCCACAGTGATAACCTCCAACCTTCCCCCGAGTCCACACCTACGGGATCAGCAGTCTACGCCTCTCCTCAAACGTCTCCTGGACCCGTCAGGGCTCACCTGCCCCACGCTCGTCTCTCGCTCTCTGCACCCGGCACTCATGTTAACCGAGCTCCTTGGAACGCACATCACTTTCTGTTTCTGAGGCTTTGCCTGAGTATTTTCTCTGCCTACAAAAAACTACTCACCCTCGTCCACTTCGGTGATCCTCCTTCTCCCTTAAAACTCAGCCTGAATGCCACTTCCCTTGTCCGGTCCTGATGTTACCTTTCCTGTTCTCGCCTCCAGGGAAAGGCCCTGAAAAATCATTCTTCCTTGGCAGTACACTAAACATTTGTTTACCTGTCCTGCTCCCTACTAAGCTGCAAGCAACAGAAGAGCTTCTCACATTTGCATTCCCAGCATGTGGCACAAGCCAAGCAAAGGAAGCTATCTGACAAGTATCTGTTGGATTGAGCTGGAGGTGGCTTGTTTGCCTTGAACATTAGCTTCTCCTTTCGTGATCACTAATGCTCCTCTCAAGTCAACAGAATGAAACTACTGCAACATTATTCAAATGCACAGTCTTTAACGCTATAATTGATTTATCATCTTACTATATTAAAGTTAAATAGCTGATGTTATCCAGGTCAGCTATGGACAACGCGGGTAAGATCCTCTACCAGAAATTTAAAACTTCATGGCACATATTAGCCCTTCTCTATCATTTTTTTATGGGTAAAACTATAAAACTCATGTTCTTGGTCTCCTCAGTCTAAAAACCCTACTGAATATATAAATAAATTGTTCTTATGAAAATTTACTAGAGAGGAAACATTTGGTATTATGTTTTTATTTCTATTTGAGAGTAATGCTTTCTCAGTTTCAGGACAGCGTTGCCTTCCGAGCCTCTAAGTCTCAAGTTATGAGCTATGATCCGCTTTGGCAATACTTGCTTAAGAAGGATTTCCATGGTTATTTTTCTTTTGGCGGTGTGGAGAATTTTCAGTGACAATCATAACTTCAGTGTCAGTAGAGAGGCAAGAATACAAGATATCCTCAAAATGGTATAGATTATAAGAATTGCAATTTCTAGTGAGATAAGTCTTTCCACAAGATCGCTAATATTTACCATATTTAACCTTGTGTTTCAAGTCACCAGAAAGGACACAACGTTAGGAAGATTAATTGAAAAAACAAATTGAGGGTAGTATCTATGGGATAAAATTCCACAAAAATCCCATTGATAGGATCCAGTGGAGAACCGGTTGTCCCTATTTTTCCACTAAAGAATGGAGTTTTAATTTCTTTCTCTACTGATTTGCATATAGTAGGTGACAGTGATTTTTTTTAAAAAACTAAATGTGGTAATAGAACTGACCCAAATCACATATCCTTTACTATTTTCAACCTATAGGCATCAAAGGCATGTTTCTGCCTCACTTCAAAGTAAGCAGAATGCCTCAAACTCATACCAAAAAGATTGCTTCACCCCGACTCTTTACCATATCCCATGTAAATCCCAGGTCGGCACCTGCTACACAGTGGCCAGAGAGATCTACAGAAGTCTGGAAAACTTCCTTCTTCCTCTTGCAGCCCTGAAGGAAAGTCCCATTTGTCCTGGGCGTTGGACATCGCTGAGAGGAACACAGCTGCTACCGTGAAAAAGTGACAATGGCTCACTGGCCCCCTGGTGTGACTCGACTATAGGTAATGGGAGCATCTCTTCACCTACACACAAGCTGCCAGTGCTAGAAATACTTAACTTCCGACAAGCAAGATTATCAACCGATACTGCATTTGGCCTAGAAATCACTGTTGCATAAGAAAAGAAAACAGCCCAGGGGAACTATAGCTGTTTGATTCTTTAGATTGAAATACAAATTTTAGGCCTCATGCCAGAAGGTATACAGAAGAGACAGAAGAAGCTCCTAAAACAAAATTGGTTTGCACTAGGTTCAGAAGCTGGCCGGAGAAGCCAAACTTACAGACTTTAGGATCCCGGTAGCATCCTCATGGAGCCAGGTGGGGTAGACCACTTCGTCATTCAGGATGGCTTCAAAGAGGTCGTCTTCGTTCTCAGCCTCGAAGGGCGCATGGCCGCACAGCATCTCATAGAGCAGCACACCCATGGCCCACCAATCCACTGCGGGCCCGTACAGCATCTCCTGGAGGATCTGAGCCAAGGGGATGACAGGGTGAGAAAGGCATGTGCACCTGAGGTAAACCAAGGCATTCTTTGTGAAGAAGGACAGTAACAGATCAGGAAATATCAAAGCGAAAAGGAAGATAAAAACATGTGAAAAGTCTCCTGGGCTGGCACGCTTGCTTCCTTCCACTTCCACAGCAGTCTGTTTTCAGACCACTCAGTGCGCCCTCTCTTCTAGGCAATCCAACATGGGTGGCTCTAGGCCAGGCTGATACAAAACAGAGCGGACTTGGGAAATACAGACATGCAGAGGGAATGGGAATCCATGCATATGGGAATGATTCGAGAGATCTTTAGATCCGTTCAATGGATCTGCTAAATGAGTGCAAAGACAAAAACAGCTATGTACACAATACACTTTGTTCTCATTTACAGCCAAAACCTAAGGTAACTGCTACAAGCTGTGCTAAAAAGTTTTTGTTTTTTTTAATTCAAACTTGTATTTACAGGAACCTTGGATATTTTCAATCCTATGCACTCAATGAGCCATATGAGACTGGAGGCACTGGCTTTCAATACCACCCCAAAGCTACGGCATACAAAAACAGACGCCAGCATTTCTGGTCAGTTTACTGCAGAGCTCAGATTTCAACAGCTCCACCGAGCAGATGCACTAACCTCTGGGGCGATGTAGTCAGGGGTGCCACAGAAGGTGGCCGTGGTGACGCCATTACAGATCCCCTCCTTGCACATTCCGAAGTCTGCCAGTTTACAGTGACCTTCGTGGTCCAACAGCACATTGTCCAGTTTCAGATCCCTGAAAGAAAGTGACAGCAGCATGGGTCAGGAAGGCAGTCCCCAGATCACCCACTGGAAGAACTGGCTGGGACGGGTGATCGGGCCATAGGGCAGCCACCCAGGCTCTGCACACACCGTCAGAAGAAGTGGACATCTCTGGGATCACTGCATCAGAAATCAAGATCCCATCTCAGAACCGGCCTAGACCGTGGGTCACTGCGAATGGGTAACCACACTGAAATATGCAGACCACCCTTCAGAAACGGAAGCAGCACGTCACCTTTCTAGGCTTGGCATGCACCTCCCTCCCATAAGAAATCAGCCAGCCCTTTCCTCAGCTTCTCTCTAGCGCCCATTTCTGCCGATCAGGGTGCATGCGGTGAGCACTCAGAGCACGCAGTGGCTGCGTGCCAGGCATGTGACAGACGTCAACAGAGCTGTGAACTCCGTGGGATCAGAGAACTCTGGTCACCCCTGGGCCTAACGTGGTGTACTCAGCAAACGCTAGCTTCACACATGCGCGCGCACACACACACAGAGCAGGGGACCAACTGCTGTATAATTCAAGTGGCACAATGAAAATACAAATCAAACACTGTGAGAAGAACACACGGGAACAATCCCTTCCATGGGAAGACAGAAACCGAAATAGAGCCAGGTCTGAAGAAAGGAGCGGGTCTCCCAGGCAGGGCAGGGGCAGAAAGGCGCAGACTGGTGGGCAGAGCAGGTGTCCAGAGGCAGTGGGGGAGGCTGTGCTAAAGGGCCATGGGGCACTCTGGGCTGGGAAGAAGCCCAGGGCTAGGAGGAAAGCGAGGTCCTTTACATTGGGAAGGGTCTGAATGCCACACCAGGGAATTTAATATTAAGCAAAAGAGAAACTCTGTAAGGAAGTAAGTTTCCAGGAAAAGATCAGCTAGAGGTAGCTGAAATAGTCCAGGGGGGTGCTGAGACCTGAATCAGGCAGTGACAAATGGAATGGAAAGCCGGGCTCAGGGAGGGGAGAGGAAGCAGGGCTTCTGGGACACTATCAGTCACAAGGCTTGGAAGCCACTCTGGGCGACCAAGGAGAAGCAGCAGCAAGACAGCTCCTGGGTCTGCCTTTCAGCTGACAGCGCATGGGGATGTGGGCGATTATTAAAAGGGAACTGAGGAATCAGAACAGGGTTTTCAAAGTGTCCTCTGTGCCCAGGAGGCCAAGAGCGTGTGCAGAGCCCAGGACAAAAGTACTTTCCTCCCCTCTCCCACTACTCAGAGCAGACCCCCTGGAAGGAAGAGAATTCCAGCAAACGTGCCTGGTAAAAATCCCTCTGTACGTAAGAACACAGCTATACATTGACAAAACTGTGCGCAGGTAAAAGGCTACAAGTCCTCCAAAACCACTGCCTGCGTGGCACAGGCTACTCGCACCTGGCTCCTTTCCAGCCTGCTCCAGAGTAAGGCAAGTCACCATGCTGCAGACCACACCAGCCGACAGTCCAGGTTGACCAAAGAGTGGCCCAACCTAGTGGGGGTGGCTATGCCTCCTTCCCCAGGAACTTAACCATACTGCCTCTCAAGGGAAGGGGGACACTCGGTAACCTGGGGATCCACCTGCCCAGGCCTGGGGCTGCCTGTGGCTTCGGGGCTGGGGGAGACAGGGTCCCCCTCCCTGTGGCGTCTTTATGGTGCTGACTGCTTGCTAGGCCTCGCTGAGTTCTCACAGAGGACCGAGTTCTGCTTCCTAACCCAGTCTGAGAAAGGCCATTGGCCTGAGGGGCCCCAGGGGAGGCTTCTCTCTGTCCAGCGTAGATCACCTTGTGCAGAGGGAGGGAGGTGAGGACAGAAGTGGCGTGACCAGTTTCCATGCCATGCCCATGACTTGCTCCAGCCGGGCCATGCAGGTCTCACAGATAGTGGTCACGGGAAAGCACCCAAGAACGAAAACAAAGCTCTGCTTCCCAGGAATGCCCAACACCTGTGGTGCACAAGCAGGCAGCACTCCCTCAGCACAGACCTTCCCTGCACCTTTCTGGCTTTGGCAGCAGCCTCCTGGAACTGGGGTCATGAGATCAAGGTCACCCACCTCCCCAAGCAGGCTTCACAGCCCCAAATCAGATCTGGCCCGATACCCCAAAATTAGATTCCACCCCGTTCCACGCCAATGTCTCCTGTCCACACATCCCAGCCCACTGCTGTCAGCGGCCTGCAGGCTGTGGACACTGCTTCCTCCTCGTGCCCTTCACCTGCCACGCTGTGAACCCAAGGTATTCGGGCCACATGGCGTCAGATTTGCAGGAATATTGGTATGTATGGGGACAGACGTGGTGTGGCCACGCCACAGGAGAGAGGCCACCGCTGGCCACGCGGATTCTTAACTGCTCTTCCACAAGTGGCTTCTGATTCAGGAGGCTCTTTAGTGCCTGGTCACCTGGCTCCCATGGATCAAATGCCAAATATCAGTGAGTGGCAGCTGCCTGAAGCCAAATGTGACAGTCTGGCTCGAGACAGGAAGGCCATGGGGACTGAGTCTCTAAGGCTGGCTCGATGGACACCAAATGCCAGCACAGCAGCCCGGGCCGGTGTGGATCTGAGTACAAAGCACTCTCACCCACCTTTCCAAACAAGGTCACTGAGTTTCTGGATTCTCCCGAAGCTGTTACACCTGCTGACATCTCAAAAAGGAGCTTCTTGGACAATAGAAACAAGTACTAACAGAGACCCACAACGGTCTGAAGAACTGATCCGTGATTGCTCGGAAGAGGCTGTGACTAACAGGCCAGGCGAGAGGTCTGATTGCTCCTTACTCAGCTGCTGCTGGGAGAGCAGGAGTCTCTCAGGAGGGGAAAGTGCTTCGTAATCAGTCTGTTAGTCACAGTCCCTCTGCACAGAGAAGGCTCAGAGCACAGCTCTCAGGAGACACACCTGAGCAGCCCAGGGTTGTGACTCATCCTGGTCACAAGATGCCTCAGGGCACAAAGGCGGGTTAGACACCCCAAAGTTGACTTTTCGGTCTAATCTTAGGCATTTCAGAACTGTACGAGCCCTGAGGGAAATAGCCTAGTGGGTTTCACAGGTGGTACAAAAATCTCACAGTGGGATCCCGAGAGGATTCAGTGAAGAGTGTAGCACAGCAGCTCCGCTCTCCGCTGGAGTGGCTGCACCTCCACCTCCAGGCAGACAGACCTCTCAGACAGCGGCCGTGCACTGGCCTCCAGAACAGGCTGTATGCACCTGTCTGCCCCTCAGCAGGAGCTGAGCCTCCCCACTTCCTAGCGAAGGTACAGACCGGAGAGAGAGGTAGAATGGCTTAAGACAGACACCGCTGGAGCTGCCTGGGCAGTCCAGAGCGTGTCTAATTTTTAAGGGAAGGAAGTCCCATAAAACTCACCAGGACCCTTGTTCCAAAGTCATTAAGCTTACAAATAGCAATTTGTTTTATGCCTTCAAAATAGCTACCAGAGGGAAAAGAAGACTCCTGAAATGGAAGTTTAAATTCTCCTCTTTAGTGAAGCTGGAGAGGGGAAACTGACTTAGGAGGTACAATATAGGGCAAAGAGGACCAAGTGATCCTCCTCCTCCTGGCTTGTGTCTAAGTGAAAAAGCCAAACGCAGAGAGTGTTAATCCAGCAAGTGCAAAGGTCACTGAGCCATGCACAGCCACGGTCAGCTTCCACACAAAAGGCAAGTCATACCTTTACTAAAAGAAAAAGGAAAAGCAAAAAGCAAAAACCAAAAGTCGCCTTCTGACTCCTGACTTTAACTTGAAATGTGCAGGGATCAGATTTTGGCTTTGGAGCACCTCAGCCTCCTATGCCGAAGTGTAAGTCAGCAGCCAAATGTAAGAAGACTACACAATGCTGATTACAAGTTCACACAGGGCAGAGGCTCAGATCCTCAAATGTCCAAAACACAATTCTGGGCTCACCCGTCATTAGCTCACTGAGCACTGGTATTTAATAGCGAACGCTTTTGCCAGGCAAGCACAGAAGGGCAGACAGAGTCATTTTACCCTCTCTGTTCTCCTGAAAGGTACATTGTTCTTGCTGGCTAATCAAGGTTACTTAAAATGCCCACAGCAGTTTCAGAGAGAATTGTCAAGAGGATGAAGACAAAGAAGATTCAGAAATTGGATTCATTCTGTTTCCATGCTGAGTTGTCCTGACAGTAATAAAACAGAACGGCCTGAATCTTTCTGTTCAGATCGCTGGAATGAATCAGTCATCCCCTCCAAAAGAAAGAGAGGCAAGTGAGTCGCAGAGAGCCAGATAAGAATGAATTTAGGAAGATGCTCACATTCAATAACTTTTTAATGCATTTTCTGTCCTTACATCGTGGAAAGTTTCAAACACAGACAAAAGTATAGAAAGTAATGTGCAACTCCCAACCTGATCACACAGCATCGGTAGCTCAGAATAAGCTCAATCTTGTTTCCCCTGCTTCTCCTCGCTCCCTTCCTGACCCATCTTTTTGCAGATTATTTGGAAGGAGTCTAGAAGATGAAACCATCTCATCTATAAATATCTTATCTGAATCTAAAGTACAGTGATTTTAAAAAATAAAACCCAACCTTGATACAAGTTATCATAAAACAGTATACAATTGTTGGTGCACTGCTTTTTGTCTGCTGCACGTGTGTGTGTGTGTGTGTTCAGGGAACCAGCAGAAAGGTTTTGGGGATAGTAGTAATAGTGTCTTCAGTAGCTACCATATATTAGATGTTTGCCAAATTCTACGTGCTTTGTCCATTTTATCTTATCCTCAAAATTAACCTTTTGAAGTTAAGGTCTCCTCCAAGATCATTCAGCGAGCCAGGAGTAAGTAACATCAGGGTTCAAACTCAGTTCTGCTGACGTCCAGGGCTTGGGCCCATAACCCAGGTCCTCCAGCACACTCTCTTCTGCATGGTAGAATCACTGGCAATCCTCTTGGTAAACTGTTTCCTGAGAGGGCTTTACTCAGTGGGACAAGAACCATGGGAGAACCAATAAATATCCCGAAGACACAAAGGATGTTTTACATACATCACTGTGAAAAGCGTAA